AAATAAACGATGTCGATTGCAGAAAGGAACAAAAATAGAAAATAGATGTAAACTTGTACTATATCATTTACAGCATGTATTTGGACTAGCCGGGTTCGAATTCTAGTCGAATCCATTACATTCACTGACATGCCAATACCCTTGGGAAAGGTATGAATCCGCTTCTTCCCCCAGCTATGAGTAAATAGCAGGATAGATTGGGTTCTATTGCCTTGGATGAAATGACAACTGTAGATTCAAAACCGTGAATATAAATGAACGGAAAAAATTCCATTTCTTTCCAAATAGCCATGGCAAGATATCCCTGATCAGAGGTATAGACGAATCGTCGCACATCCACCTGAAGGAATATGGGGTATTAAAAAAAAAATTCTGATTTAATAACATTACTATTCCTTCACTATCAGAAAATGACACTAACAAAATTAATTCGGTATTAAAATTCATGTCCGATTTTATTAATAAAAAAAGTGCAATAAAATATTGCCAATATGGTCTGGAAAAATCTGTTTGTATCACTATTTTTGAGCTCAAAAAGAATTTTATCATGTCAAAATGCATTTTTAAGAAATTATCCAATTTTATCATATCTATTATACATTCACATGTTCAATTATGTTTTAAAGATGAACTAAAGTTGTACCTAATCCATATCTATCTACCTATCTGATTTATCTATCTTCTTCTCTTCATTGCTGGGGACATTTTAATGTTTTTAATTTATCCATCCACGATAATCTCATCTTCTGTTTGTCTGCGTGTGTCCATCTGTTTGTCTATCTATCCATCTATCTGTTTGTCTATCTATCCATCTATCTGTTTGTCTATCTATCCATCTTTATTGTTTGTCCTATGAAGGATCCATCTATCTGTTTGAGTTTTCTTCCATCTATCTGTTTGTCTTTCTAATTCATCCATCATGTCTCCCATCCACCATGCCCCTGTTTTTCTTTCATCGATCTATCTTTTGTTGGTTGGTATCCATCATCTATCTCTTTCTTCTATCTCTATTCCTTTATCTCCAATATGGCCCTGGTTCCAGCAGGATCTGTTCAAAATCTCAAGAGGTTTTCATCATCATCTGTAACAGCTATGCGTTTAATAATAAATGAATGATCTATTGTGAGTCTATCCGATGACCTCTTTATCTGACTTGGTTCTTTTTCCAAAATCATAAACAACATTTTTCCATCTCTCTCCCTGTTCTTTTTTTTTTTCCATCCCTTGCCGTGACGTACCACCACTACCCAAAAAATTGATTTCTATCATGACTCATATTGCAAATGTCTTTTTAAAACCGCATATCTTTTCTTTAAAATAAATCAATAAATAAAATTTTAGGTATTATTCGTTCATATTTCGTGGTATATTTTGTTTTCGTTAAAAAAAAGTTTGAAATAGTTTTTAAAAATGTTTTTCATCCTTGTTTTTCAATAACCGATCACGTGAGCTCTATTCAATACCTTCTTCTCCCATGCTTAAAAAATATCCAGTCTCTCTTATAATTACTTGCTCTCTATAATTAAATTCAATTTAAATTATCCGTTTATCTTGTGGATCTTTTGAATGTTGTTGGTGTGGCTAAATGGCTGGCCTTTTTTTTCTATTAAAAAAGGTTTTTTTACATTTATCAAAAACAAATTAAATAAAATTAACGAAAAACACAGTATGAAAATAGTTTAAGAATCCCCTCCCCTGTTTTATTTTAAGGCCTTTTCTTTTATTCTACCTGTTTTTTTTTATTTCCACATGTACCATTTGATTGCCCGCTATTTGTATTGTCCGGAAAAAACAAAATTTTTGACTTTGGTGTTCCAGGTTATCGCATTTGTCTAAAATTTATGATTTTCATTCTTTTAAGGTAATTATTGAAATTTTATTTTGCCTAGAAAAAATTTGATAGAAAAATATGTCATTTTGCTTTTGCCTGTCCTTTTTTAAAATTATTTTTCGACAAATAATACATTGCTAGGTTAAATTTTTGTTGAAACATTTTTAAAAAAAATTTTTTTTTTTTTTCCAGAAATAAATTCACCAAATTTTATCAAATAAGAACTTTTGAGCTAATTTTATTTTATTTATTTATAATTAAATTTTTTTTAAATAAATGTTCTTGTCTATCTATACAGGCATTTCCAATTAAATTTTTTATAGAACGGCTGGTTGTTGAAAATTCAACAATATTTTTTACGAATTTAGTCATTTTTTTTCTTTCTTTTTTCATGTTTATAACAATCGATGACAACAACTTTTAAAAATTCATTATTTCTCTAAATTGTTTTTTGATATTTGAAAATTTTTCCATCATTAGGGTCTTCTTTCTGTTTGAACAACGCCTTTTTAACTAACTCTAAGAATTTGTTCAGATTCTCAACTCAAATATTGTAAATTCTTTCTAATTTTATCAATTTCTCTTTCTTTATTATTATAAATATAGTACTCAACTATTTTTTTCACTTTCAACAGTGGGTAGGATTTAAAAATTTCATTAGCTCAATATGGATATTTTTTTTTTAATAATTGAAATTCATATCTCTCTTCGGACATTTCACTATTTTTCCCTTTTAGCGTACGTGTTGTTTCTGTTGTCTTATAAATTGTTGCACATTATTCGGAATGAACACTTCATTTGTGTATTTATAAAATTCTCTCTTTTTTCACCTTGACATTGGATCTAATAGCTCCCCCCCGTTTTTTGATTCATCTTTGTGCTGTGTGCATCAGTCAGAGATGTTTCATATGATGTCGTCAGATCGCACTTACGAGCTTTTAATTAATTACAAAAATAAATTGAATGAAATATCGGCCTTTCATCTCTCATATTTGAAAATAAAAATTATCGAAAACACACAAAAAAAAACAAGACATGATTTTTTAAAAAAAAAAAAGGCCAATCTATCAAATATGCAGTTTTTTTTATATTAGCAATCCATCTTAATTTAATTGGATTATTTTGAAAAAAATATTATTGACATAATTCATTATTCTATTTAAATTTTATTTAATTATATATATTTTGCATTAAATGAGTATCAATCACTGTATTTTTTTATCATGAACTAAAAGATTTTATTTGGAATTGTAAATATCTTATTTATTTTTCTATGTTTTGACTTTTGAAATGTATCATAGTGAATAATTGTTTTCAATTGGGATAATTAATCAGAAACTGAAATCAAATTCAGTTGAGGTTCCTTACATTCACTTACGAACTAATATCTTGGAAAAATACAATCCATCTTTTCTCCTTCCATAGCTATGGGAAAATAGTAGGACAGACTGTTCTATAATCCTTGGGTTGGCAACCAGCCTGAGAATTAAATGTCAATTCAAACCAGATCACACTATCCTAAAATAGGATGCCATTTATGAATCCAATTCCCACTGAAAATCCTACTATGAATTTGAACATCTGAATGAATAACTGTTTCTTTGTTACACTTTTTCTCAAAAAAACTTTTGTATTTTGGATGCTGTGGGTTCATTTGATGCAGTTGGCTCAACTAACTTTTCCTGAATGTTGCAACAAGTTAGAATATAGGATTGATCAAAGAAAATCAAAAATTACCGTAAATTTTTTTTTTTTTTGTTTTTTTTTTTTTTACCTATGATAAATCACCATTATTACTCAATGCCTCATTTTTTTTTTAATTCTGTTGAAGATAATTATAATTTAAAAAGGTTTATTTAGTGGCATATAAATGACTGTCTAATTAGATCAACTAAAAAAATTGATTATATAATGCCCAAACAGTAAATGGTAGAGCAGCTCTTGGTATGCAAGTATCGTATTTTTTCCTGGCAGAAGGGTTTGCAATGATATCCATTCAAAATCCTAGTTACCATAAAATTTTAAAATAAAAATACCTCTCCTTTGGGATTTGTGCTGGGTTTTTTTTCCAATATTTTATAGAATATATTGTCCTTGAAATGGATAAAACTTATATCAATGAGAATTTTTTGTATATCTTGCTGTCAACTCAATCTTTTGTCACATTGGTAAATCCATGGGAACACTTTAAAATCACGAAATTTCTAAGATTCAAAATAGACTAAACAGTAAATGATAATATAATTAATATAAAAAATTCACTTACTTCATATATAAAATTTTTATTTAATTACCCTTTGATTTATAAGACACACTCTAATTTCAGCAGGGCAAATCAAGAAAAAAATAGTAATTAGTAAAATTATTAATAAATGATACAGTCTAGGATATATTTATGAGCTATTATTTTGGTTAAACAAGCCATGATTACAATTAAACGAAAATAATAGGAAAAAAAGAACACGAGCTTATAAAAATTCCCTTTATATGATCTGTACAACCTGTGTCTTGTAAAAATCTTATTGAATAATTAGGATATAAAAATTCTGATTGTATTTATACCAATTCAACTGGAAGTTATCATTTTTTGAAAAAAATTAATTAAACAAATATTTTTTATAAATATATAATTTGAATTTATTGCATATAATTTTAGTTAAACAAAGTACTAAGTTTTTGGGAGATGAAATTAATATAATGAATATTATCAATGATATAAATGCATGTCGGAAAAGGGTTTAGGGGAAATAACAGAAAGACAAAATTTATTAAGAGTTTCAAAGGACAGGAAGTTGTGGAGAGCTATTATCGCTTATGTCCTAAAGGGGACACGGAAATTAAAGAAGAAGAAGATAATACAAGTCTTACTAATTAAACCATAGCTGAAGAGAAAATAGGTGAATTCATACATTTCCCAAAGGGATTTTAACGTAAGTGACAATAACGAATCTAACGGGAATTCGAACTCGGCTCTCCGATTAACAATCCTCAGCCAATATCCATTACACCAACCGTACAAGCAAGCTTACAGTATCATAGCGAGGAGGATAAGAAGAGTATTCATTCTTTTCTCAAGGGTATTTTGCACATAAGTGACTATAACGAAACCAACGGCAATTGGAACTCGGCTCTACGATTAACAATCCATTACACCATCTGTACATGCAAGCTTGCAGCACCTGGTATTCCCAAGCGGTTACTCATCTAGGTACTACTGACCAGAGTCGATATTGCTTAACTTCGGTAATCGTACGGCAACCTATGTTTCAACGTGATGTGGCCGTAAACCGAGATTAAGAATTATTGTTGTTATCTGCTTTTTTTTTCCAGACCAGAACGACCATCTTGATTTTGTTATCCTCATAACATTTCGACCTGTATACCATCTAGCCTTCATCAGGTGTCTGTCTTCGTAGTTGTTAACCGCCTCGGAATTTCGAACCGAAGACTTTATTCCGCGTTGCAGATTGTTCTCATTCGGCTGTCTATGACTAAAGGATATTTGATATCATTTTTATTCATATCTGTGTTGCTTGTTCGTTTCTTTCATTGAACCAGTGTTTGAGATTTTTCAGCACTACCAAAACCAGGATTTGAAGTCACAAAATTCAAGATAGCACATCTATTTTAATTAGAACTTTAATACACTAGGCCCTATAAGGATAGAAACCGAAATGGATATTTTGGCGAAAACAGTGAAACATTATAAATCAACGAACGTTGGAATGTTTATGAAGAGCCTCGGTGTGGTGCAGTGGTTTCTAAGCTCGGTAACCAGACCATTACTATCTTCGGCCTTCATAAGTGTACCAAACTGTGGTCAGCTCAGAGGGTGGAACTATTCTCGGGAGTTTGATGATCATTGAGGCGATATATCCGCATCTATAAAAGTAGATGGGCTCGATTATCACTAGGTTCAATCCCCTTCCACGTCTACTGAACAGAAGCAGAGGGGTTTTTTTTTTTATCAAGTTCACCCCAAGCAAGGCAGTAAAGCTAGAGAGACGCAGGGGTTTACTGGCTACGGAAGAGTTAAAAATAGGAACATTGCTAAGGAGCGAGAACACAGGAAGTTTCATCAGGAGGACAGCAGATAGCATTTGGCTTTGCATTTATATTTTTGCAGATGAAAGTTGGCAGGAAAGTCATGGAGCCGGAAGGGGCATTCTACAAGCGAAAAGTGAAAGAAAAGAAACTGAAGCATAGAATCTACGGTTCTATCTAGCCAGCTCGAATGTAAATTGGTGAGACCTAGTCGCCACTCTAGTACTGCGCTTAAACACGAAGAATCTAGGCACCATAGCGAAGCGCTCATCCGAATAATTAAAATGAAAGTATTTATAGAAAAGGCAAAGAGAGGCGACATTATGGCTTGGGAAAGTGACTAAAGCCGAGATACCAGATCGTGGCGAATAATATTGCTGATTCTCCTTTGGATTTTATCAAGGAGTTCTAGATAGATAGCAGGGGCACTGGGCCATATGTTGCAGCAATATTCTAAGCATGGATGAATAGTAGACATAGATATGTAATATTGACTCTGGAAAAAAAAAAAAAAAAAAACAAAAAAAAACAACACCTAGCATGACACAGTGAAGCAACCTTCCTGTCAGCTTATCTAGCAATGATAGTCTTTTCCCATCATCTTAACCGAGAACGTTAGCCCAAGAGGTGCAAGGAACCACTCTCCTTGAGAGCAGCATCAATCATGCTGATGGAAAACAGAGAGGGTTCTCTCAGATGATTAATAGGGATCAGTTTAGTTTTGGAAGCGTTAAAATCAACACTTTGCTCTATTTAACGACAGACTGAAAGGTCGTTTTGGATATCAGCCCGCAATTTGGTTTATCTCTTCATTCCTATCTAGGACCGTGTTTCCGGCCCCTCTTAAAGTCTTCTTATTGGCTTTTTCCTTTGCGTCTTGGCGGGATTATCGCCTTGCTTGGAATAAATTGATTGATAAAAATATGTGTAACACTAGACGTAGACGTATTGGGATGGCCAAGGACGCATTCCAAAAGCTGGGCAGAGTATTGCGAGACAGGAGGATTTCTTTGGTAACTAAGAAAGAATACTGAGCTGTTACTTGACATCTGTCCGTCTTTGTGGAAGCGAATGTTGGACGATTTCCTCAGGATGAAGAAGATTTGAGACGACGGAGATGTTTCAAAATGAAAATATGGAGGGGGAGCCCATGAGGTCTTAGAGGGAAAAGGAAATTCCCAAAAAAACCAAGGGGG